TCTGGAAACAACCGCAGAGTAACAACATTAATATGGGTCACAAGACTAGCTAAGAAAACATCAGTGTCTTAAAATTTAGGCAAAGCCACTCTATAAAAATCTAGTAATCTTAAACGCAGAGTAAAATTAAGCGCAGTAGGAATCAGTAACTTATGCCTGAAACACACAGGAATTGTCAAGAAGTATCAGATTGTAAAGGTAATAGTATAGTTATACAGCACAGCTTGTGCCATTTCAACATGACTGACATGTCGAAACAATACGAGTTCTGTGGAATTCTCCAGCTGAAATCATAGAATTAACTATCAGGAATGGGAGCTCTAGCTGGTACTCAAAACCCATACAAAATATGCAGTCACTACATGATACAATCTTTCCTGTGAAGTATGTTGGATGTCTTCCTGATGTGAAAAGCACTAAACCAAATGGAAGGATGATATTCTGGTTTTCCTTCCTCACTGAGAATAGTTGTAACACCTCATCTGCAACCTCATTTGAGATCGGCCAACCTGGCACAGAATGGATGAACCCACTGTCAATATTTCAAAAACATACATGATGTTTCCCCTCAATTTTCTTTTCTGTAATGCAAGAACATTTAATTTGCAAGTCTCTCTTCCCAATTTAAAATCCAAAGTTTCTTGTGGCTCTTCTCTGAATGCTAGCCAATGCCACAGAAACCTTGTAAAAGGTAATGGTCCAAATATTTTGGAAGTGACCTTAACAATGCAGTTAGAAAAGCTGGAATAAGTTGGTTTCATGTACAGCTAAGTGTGTTTGAGATGGAAACAAATAGTTGACTAGCTTTGTTAAGAACATGAGGGCTGATTGTATGCTGATCACNAAAAAAAGCTGTTCTCTTATTTCTTTATTCCTTGTGGAGTCCTGTAGCTCAGTGGTTAGAGCACTTGCTTTGCAAGTGAGAGACCTGAGTTCAATTCCAGGCTGAGGGCGAAACCTTGGGCAAGTTTCCTTACTCCACACGCCTAATAATAATCCCTCCAAAACAAAACAATAATAAATTGGTCATTTTCAATCCACGACTGTTTGTGGGACATTGCTGTGCGCAATTGGCTGCCGCGTTCGCCCACAAATATACAGCGAATTCACTTTACAGTGTGTTCTGTGAAGCGCTTTGGGACGTCCTCCCGATGTGAAAAGCGCTAAATCAAATGCAAGGATTATTATTATTATTCCGGGAAAATATTATAATCCATTTAGAAGACACTCGACTGACTGGACACCATTAATTAGTGATCCACTATCACCACCAAATCATCTCCATCATATCCTAACGAATATTCACTATATCTTTTAAACAATTCAGGATTATTGTGCCAAAGATAGCTGCCTTCAATGAAAGTGAAGTAAACAATTTTTTTATTAAAAGTGAATGTTGGGGAGATTAAATTCAATACATTTGTTTTTGAACAGGTTTTGAAATGCTATCGTTGTTTCATTTAAGTACTAATCCTTCTAGAATTAGTACTCCCAAAAGTTATCCTGGGGCATGTTAAGAACAATACATACAATAAAAGATGATATATAAAAGAAATATCCCTGTACCTTTTTTGGAAAATAAATAGTCTCTCCTTTCACTTGTTTTCAATCAGTTCACCCAGCACAGGAGTGTTCATTTAAATTTCTGGTACTGTATTTTGAGATACACTTTGGAGGACACTGTAGAAATAGTTACACTGTATGTAGCCATAAGATTGGGCATTTTACACTTCTTATTAGACTGTAAATCTTTAATTGCTTGCAATGCATTCTATGACTTAATTTTTCTAAGGCTTTTGTTCCTGCATATTCTGCTCCCCATTGTTCTCTTGCTCCCTTATGTTTGGATTCCTCAAATATGAGAAAGGGAAAAATTTGTGATATTCCTTCAAGTAACCACACGACGTCTCCGCTCGACTGGCACCAGCCTCCTGCTCGTCCCTCACACCCTCCGCCCCACCATCGGAGGTCACACCTTCAGCCACTACACCCTGAAGCTCTGGATCACTCTCCCTCAATCCCTCCGCCTTGCTCCCTCTCTCCCCTTTTTCAAGTCCCGCCTGAAAACCTTCCTCTTCGACCGTGCTTATGGCCACTTCCCCCCCGCCCCGGCTCTGTGTCAGGTTCCGCCACTGTTAAGCGCTCTGAGACTCTACCCTGCGTGGAGGGCGCTATGTAAGTGCAAGTTGTTGTATTCTTTGTTTCAGTTAGCACAAAGTGTTAAGGAATTCCACACATTTGTTCCAAAATCTTCTTACTTACTTAAAATCTTACCTTAGCAATGATTGTGCTATTCCTGGTTTATGATCTACACAGCCGGGATTCCTCTGCCTGTGTCTACAATCCTTATATCAAGGTAGAACTGACATTCCCACTTTATTGTAGTTTTCTGTTTCTTTTCACCCAGACTGCTGGCAGCTGATCTAGAGCAGTGGATGTGTGAGGGTACACGGCTCAGATCAGAGACAGGAGAGTCTTACTGAGCTAAGTGAGGGGAGTTTTTTCAAATCTAAGTAAGAAACACATTTTTGGATTCCTTGATGCTTTGCTGAACATGTAAATGTTATCTGCATGCAATGTTTTAAAGTTATGAGCCTCTGCTCCTATCCCATCAATTCACTGGACATCCTTTTCAATAGCCTAGCTCTAGTTTTCACTTCTCACAATTCCAAGACAAGAGGGCAATGGTGACATAGATTCTGTGGAACTTTTGTAACTAGAGAGTCCTGCAGGTCAGAGGTTGACCTGCTGGAAATACTGTTGGACGCTGTAATTTGTCTTCAGTGAAGCTGTATTACACATGGCTCCTGACACATGGTAGGACATTGGGTCAATCTGTGTCCAAGCAGAGTTCCATTAGGATAATCTCAAATACATCCTGATATCTATAGGATTAATTAGTTACAAATTTCTTTGTCCTTATCACATGTTAAACTCCAAGACTGCTACTATGTTACACCAAACTGCTTACTGGATTATTTCTTTGAAACACTGAAAGTTGTTAAAGATGATTGGCACTCACAGGTTAAGGTGCTCTGTATCGTATGAATATTAACATTAGGGGCTGTACGTCTTTGATGTACACTCCTACTTTTAGATAATATTTAGAGATCTGGTAATTTCTAGGATTTAAAACACATGTTCTATCTACATTAATATTTGCAATTCATACTGACAGAAAGCAGACTGCAGTAACACTGTACTGTCATTGCTGTAATAGTCACTGCAGTAATATTGAGATTTTTTTCCACAGTATCTAGCCATAAAGTAGTAGCACATCTGTATACATCATAGAGCTACTTCTGACTAAGATAATAATCCTGTTGATTTATCTCAAAGTATTAAACATCTCAAAGGCTCCATGCCAATCCACGAGTGATTTGGAGCATTAACCTTGCTATTTGAACAATCAATTCCAGTTTGCTTTGAGTTTAACATTTTGCACATCTTATACATATTGCAGATCCTCTGCATTGTAAGTTCACTGCTGAAGAACAGGGTGGGAAGCACTCCCAAGCTTTGCCATCTCACTCTGCATCCATCCCATAGTACGTGACTGATCTCAAGTGGCACTTCAGAAGTCCCTTGCCTCCTTTTAGTTCTTTGATTGATAACTTACCATATATGGCATCTCAGATGCAATTCCTTCCATTTTTATGACACAGTATGTTAGCAGGTCACTGTGCCACTAGGGCACTCAGTCCAGGTTAGTTTTCACCTTATCAAACTAGCGTTTCAATAGCTTACACTATTGAATGCTCCTAGGCAATGCATGATCAATTCAAACATTTAGATTAATGATTTTTTTTTTAAAAAAGTACACATTTCTATTAATCATGTGATGCCTTGTTTCATTCCTAATGCAACAAATGTTTGCAGTATGTATTCATATCAGTGAGGCAGCTCCAAAACTGGCAAGACATCACGGGTGAGAAATTCCTCCTGCCAATGGCTGATTGCCCATGTCAGTGCACATTGTCAAAGTTTCTTGCTACACTTAGTGACATTAAAAATTTCTCAACCCATGAATTGAAAACGTACGCCATTAAAGTTTGAATTTATATACGTGATTTATTCAAATAAATTCTAAAGGATTTTTGGGAGGATATTGAAGGCACCAATCCTTTTCTTATTCAAACAAACTACTCCAGCTTCCCTCTTGCACTTTATCCAACTAACCTCCTGCCCTTGACTGTATTAATACCTTTTAACTCCCTGCTCGCTATTTACAATATATTAATTTTAGAACATCTTTGGGTAATGTGTGTGCATTAAGAAAATGCAATGAAGTGGTGGGGGGGGATTTTATATTTAGATGATACATGATAATGTCATCGCCAGCAATTTTTTAAAATCTATTTCACAGAGTTGATGTTACGATTGAGAGAAGATAATATTGGGAAGAAAAAGTTTCAAGATGAACCTCAGTTTCCCATTTTAATTTGATTTACTTACCTTATGTTCAGTACAAAGATAGCATACAGTGAGAATCTATTGGAGTTGGTGGAGCTACCTATTGTGGCAATGACCGTAACTTGCTTAACTCTGGTCTTCATCACTCCTGGGTTATCGGATCAGCCACTTGTGGAATATAAATTATAACATTACGTAAACTCGGTAGGCACACACCAGTTCAAATTCCATGAGACCTTGCTCTGTAGCTCATGCCAATTTAATGAAATTGATCACTTATTCTTGATTTACCTTTTTGACTGTGCCTATGGTCACCTCAACCCTTGCTTGACCTCTGTCTGCACCACTGTGAAGTGCTCTAAACGCCTTACAAGAAAGGTGCTACATAAAGCCAAATTATTGCTGATTTTGTGGAAATTACTTTAAGAACATTGTGCAGATTTTTTTTCTAATTACAAACAGCCGTTTTTCCAAGCATGTACCTTTTGAACAATAGCTTTGGATGAAGACTACTATGAACTGGGCAAACTGCCAATGCTTCCTAAACAGCAGAAGTGGCGATTCTTCCTGCTGTTGTGCTAGCTTACCTCAAAGAGAGCAGCAGCTGACTCATTGCCGTACTGGTTGGAAATTATTTCGGATTGGTCGCTGTACCACTTGAGTCCACCCAGAAAGTTTTCTGTGTCCAAGTCATTTACATCGAGCTCAGAAAGGTCAAGTTCTGGGAGATCTGAACACAGGGGCTGGTCTTCACCAACTAAAGCAGCACACTAATGGAGAAAAATACAAAAAGGACACCGTGACTTTACGATAGTTGACTTCACTAACTTAGCGCAGATGGTTTGTAATTTTATTCTGAATTATAACCATTTCCAGAATTTAGTTCACTATTTCATGAAAAGGAAGGCACAATCTATTCCCAGCCTTTTGTCAATGGAGCTGTTGATGAGATAAGCAAAAGTTAGGAAACTTCAAATTTTCCTCTTCCAATCTCCACCCCAATTTATTCTCTGAGTTAGAACTAGTGGCCTGAATCGCTCATTTTTTTAGGCTTAAGTGTCAATGTCTTAATATGTAATATCATGCAAAATTGTGGGAAGCAATCTTAAATTCAGTCTTAAATTTAATCTTAATATGTAAGACAATTTTCCACAGTTCTTAAGATACTACAAAAAATTGGCTCTCCAAATTAAGACTAAATTTAAGACTGCGTTCCAAAATTTCACATGATCTTAAATTTTCACAACATGTCTCCAGCCTAAGAACATGAGAATCTGCAGTGCTTAGATATCCACTCTGCAGCTTCCTCTTGGAGCTTTTACAGTATAGAACCCTTTCAATAAGTGGTTCTGTACATTTAGATATTTCTGCCTTCGGTTAATTAAAACAGCCTTGTATCAAAGGGCAACACAAAATCATGATGGTTTCCATTAGTTTGAACCTTCTGTTTTGTTCCTTTCATAGCCGTATCTCCCCCACTTTCAACAGTGCTGCTACTTACAGCATACAGATACTGAAGGCAGGGTCTGGATTTGACAAAGGGAAACCCAGCCCTCAGACACTCTCAGCCCTTTATTCAAAGTACCAATCTGCTGCTAGTTTGAGTAGCTGAATCGTTTCTTTTATTTGGCATAATAAACAAATGCTATTGCTTTCAAATATAAAAGTACAATTTTACTTAACATCCAGCACTAGGGCTTAAGGTGGCCCTGCAGTTCACTAAAAATGTGCCACATAAACCCAATGGTTGCAAAGGTTGGGTGTCTTTATACTTACCTTTATACTTGCTCTCAGTCATCGTTTGTTAATGCAACAATTATATATAAGCAAATATTTCAGCAATTCCCCAGTACAACTCTGGGGCCCTTCAGTCTTGACTCATGTGAAACTGCACCAAAATTCTCCAGGATTAGGTAAGTATGTATGGTGCATCCCTATGGAGACAGAGTGCACACTCTATGCCAGACAAATGAAAATTACACATATATGGAAATCTCGACAGTTTGGTTTGGATGCTTTTAAGCTTGTGATAGATTCCCTGTGTTTCAGACACCCGCTGACCAAAACAAAAAACCCAATCATAAATGTTGTACAACATCATAGCTGTACATTAATAGGTGCTGCTTTGCTTTCTGGTTTGAAAGCACTGGGTCAGCATTTTGTGCAGAGCTTCCCGTAATGTGACATAATGAATGAAGAGGGCGGCCCATAATCCATCGTCCCCATTCATAAAAATGTCAATGCAACACAAGTTTGTGATGTCACATTAAGGGGCCTTCACGCATATCGCTGATCTCTTCCTTCCCCCCCACCTCGCCTCTTCCATTCTGCATTTTGCAAGCTAAAACAAGGGACAATTGAGAACATTGGTAAGATAGCATACATTTCCAGTTAGAACACTTACAATTTGAGGATAATTCAAGTGACTTTATCTGAACTCCTTTCCCTCAGTTGAATACAATAAGAGTAGTCTATAACCTCAACCAAAAACACTAAACATAATGTTCTGTTACAAAATAGTTTTCACCGTTGCCCTTTAATTGATGTCACTGGGCAACTCAGCAAAGATTATTTCCCAACTGATATTGCAATCCACATTGTACAACCGGTTTCAGCACCAGCTAAAATGGGTGATTTCATCACTTACTACCAGCAAGTTTTAGCTACCATTGCTAAACTACAATAATGCCCATCGGATTGTACAAGTGATTTTAAGTGCTTACCAGTCACTTTCATACACTCAGGGCAACAGCTTTCTACAATACGTTTTATTGTTAGACAATGATCTATTTCTATAATGTAATATGAATAAATACTCAAAATATACCAACTACACAGCAATAGACCTCAACACTTACTAGATTTTTTCCCCATTATTTGCTCTCTCTAAACCAACAGTCACCATAACAATATCTCAACGTATTGCTGGCAAAAATGCAGATAATATCATAACCTGTTGTGGTGATTCAATTTAGCTTAATTCCTTATGCCTCTCCGGGTAACTCAGAATCGAATGAAAATGAGAGCTTGCAAATCCTAAACTTATGTGACTCAGGGAACCTCGGAGACTGCAAGGAGTCTGTTAAAATCTCAGCACTTATGAATTGGGAAGCAAGATTTCTGTGTTGCATGTGGATGGTGAGAAAAACTACTCAAACAGTGTGAAAAAAATACAGTTTGTGCCAAAGGATCCTACTTCTGCATTATGACAATTACTTTGAAAGAAAACCAAGGCAAGAATTAGCTCTGCTGCAGGAAAGCTTATATTCAGTGTTTAGTTAAAGGTGTCTCAAGATTATCACAAGGTTAGCTGCAACCTTCTTGCCAATACAAGTATTTCAGGATCTCAACATGAACATATAAAACCCCTTATAGAGCCATAAACTCACTACCAGCATACCCTAGAGAGCAACTGCGAACCTGTCTGCTTTTTCTTCATGAATTGTTCCCATGCAGGTGATACTGACTTGATATATTGGCATCTATTTTTATATTAGCAGCAGCAGTCTTTCCATATAGACCTTCTGTAGCTGCTGCACTCCCCACTGTGGATGCTCCAGATCTAACATTTTCTTTTTCTATATAAAACAATCCTGCAGATGCACCAGCAAATCTATTGCGTAAACACGGGTCCAAGCTTTGGGAAATGATCAGAATCTAAAGTGCATGGAAAACTAAACCAAACCCCTTGGTATATTCTCACTGTGCTAAACTACGTTCATTTGCTCCAGCATTCTGACGGCTGGTGGCACTGTGCCAGACACATTACCAAATGACTGAGATTTCAGGTTGCATCTGAACCTCGTGACACAAGTTGTTTCAGAACTGAGCATTACAATAAAAGCCCGTGTCACCTATCACAGCTACGAGAAACCACAACATATGTCATTGCATTTCAAACTAAGGAGATACTAATAAAACACCCAGCATAAAATCCACGCACTGCATAAAGTAGTGTAAGATTTACACCACACTGGAAGTCCTAACGTGCTGTTTTGAGAGCTTTAGTGAAGCTGGTTCTCTTGGATGAAAATGAAAGCAGAATTCCCTTGCACATGCACACTTTTTCCACTGATTCCAAGCATAACAAGTACGAGACACTAAGTTGAAGGGTAGGCAAGTACAGTCTTAAGTAGCATTCTCTCTCTCTCTCTCTCCCCCCATTTAGAGAGGAGATTCATTTCTTCTTGCTGCAAATATCACTCACAGTGTTCCAGAAGCTCACCTCTGATTCACTCCACTCAAAGCCTTGGTTGCACCTGTCCCACGCCATTCAGCTTCTGACTTAAAGGCAAAAAAGCCGCAATAAATCCACGCTCACGCACAGCAGCCACACGTGTGGAGGAGTAGGGGTGGGTGTGTGTGTGTGTGCTCGCCCCTTGCAGAGACTGAGCTGAAGGCACCTGTCTTACTACTACACTATTGCCACTGTTCAGCATCACATGACGAGGTTATTAAAAGTAGGCAGTGTTGTCAATCAGAGGCAAGTGTTTCCATGATCAAACCAATGATGTATCAGGGAAGGTGGAGCCAGAGCTGAGTACAGTAAATCTTTAAACTACTCAACCTTTGAGTCTTCAGTCCCGTGCTGTGATTTAAACCCTGCTTTTTTTTTTGTTGTGTGTGTGTGTGTGTGTGTGTCTGAGTGTGTGTGTCTGTGTGCCACACCTTTACGAGAATCCCTCCAGATGAAAGCACATCCCACAGAGCCTGGTGGCTTCTTTTATTTCTTCTTTCTTTTCTTTTCTTTTCTTTTCTTTTTTTTAAAAAAAAACACCTTGAAACGAAAAAAGATAATATCTGGACGGGACAGTGGTATAAGGTCTGGTTCTTCTACCAGCCCTCGGTTGTTGGGTTTTTTTTTTGGATTGTTTTCGTAGAAGAGCTACAGCTTTATAATATTTGCAAAGATTAAAGGTATTTTCCCACCACCACCACCTCCCACCTCTCATCATCTGTCTTCATTTGTGTCTCGCATTTATAAGTGGCATTTGTTGTGCTGAACTTGTGCAGGTTACTTAACCAAGTGCAAACATTCATCAAACTGAATAAACACAAATCGTTTTGAATCTATCTTTCTTTCTGTCTTGTCTGTCTTGTCTGTCTGTCTGTCTGTCTGGACGAGGAGACCAAACACCAACTCTTGACAAACGAGAGGTTTTTTGTTTGCATATATATAAATATATATATATATATACACATAGTCACTTTGAAATCTGGATCCAGCCAGAGAGAGAGAGAGAGAGAGAGAGAGAAAAGGCAGCAACAACACACAGTGTGTTGACAGTAACAACGACATAAGGTGGAGAACTATGCTGTGGCTCTGTCAAGAAAAAAAAATTTGCTGTGAAATTCAAATACGCACACGAACCCTCCCTGATAGTGATCAGTGTGTGGAAGCAGTCAGTGAGTGATCTGTGCTGTGCTGTGCAGCCCTGTGCCTGTGCTGTGCTGTGCCAGCAGTGCAGCTGACTGCCCTGCGTCACACCGCACCCGTGCTCACCAGCCCCCACTCTCAGCTGTGTCGTCAATGGTGAGAGCAAGAGAGCAAAGCAGCCCCTGGCCAGGCTCCTCTCCTCCTCTCCTCTCCTCTCCTCTCCAGAGGGACAGGCCGGGGAGGCTGCTCACACCTGCTGGTGCCTGTGCTGAGCCACATCACTGGAGGCCTGGGGCAAGTTGCAACGTCCTGGGACATGGAGCGTTGTGGTATAAGGAGATCCACAAGAGAGGTTTAAATAAGATATATACACACACACAGTATGTAATAAAGTCATCTCTCTCTCTCTATATATATATATATTGAACTGCTGATCAGTGTTTTACGGATTGCATTGCACTGTTAACAATATAGTTTTCTTTTACTCCCCTCCACCTTTCTCCTCTGTAGTTTGTCATTGCTGATTGGTGCATTGGGGGCATCAATCTAACAGGATGTTCCACAAGTGGTCATTTTTCATAGCTGAGCCTGAACAGTGAACATCTGACTATCTGGACATCATACCGAGCCTGATCCTGTCGCCAGCCCCCAACTATGGTATTTCCAGTTAGGAAGATGGCTCAATGGATCAATCAGCAATGGGAATTTTCTCCTCCCTCGCCCTGGGGATACCAAGGTCAATTTTGTTTCTCGCTCCCAGGTCATCTAACTAAGCACAGAACATGGATCCAGGACTTTCCTTCTTTATATGGTTCAGTAACAAATTAAAGCTCTGCATTTTATCCAGAGCAGTGGGTGTTTTTTGTTCAAGATAGCACAATTGCAATGAGCTCTTTTCTTCACACAAGCAGGCACAAGTGTTAGAGACATTTCAACTTTAAAGACAGGAATGATTTAATTTCATGATACAAGCTATTTTGATTGCACCCTAAGAAGCCCGCTGAGCGTGAATGTGTAAAAGTAACAGAACTCGCTTCCCTTTTGCCAATTTGCAGATTGTGTGATAAGAGTGTTAGCTGATTAAACCTTATGTGTAAATGTGTACACTTAGGACAAAGGTCAGCATCTACAAAACAGAATAATAATGAACCTTGAAGGAATGCTAGTCAGGCAACGGTTGTTAAATCAGTCAATTATTACTGAAGATATCCAAGAGTTCAGTGTTTAATGTTACAATACATCAAGGGGACTGAATTCGCCCCCAAATGTTTGTTCAATGGATCTTCTCTGATACACAGCTACCTCTTGCCTCATTCACTTCCCTCTCATGCAAGATACCATTTTCTGCAGGGGAATTTTTCTAGTTATGCAGCGTGATTCTGTGAGCAAGCCTGCATCAACAACATGCACTTTCTATAATGTCTCTCACGTAGGACAAACGTCTCAAAGAGCTTCACACCTACGATGGGAAAATCATCAAACAGGGTGGAAAGGAAGAGGGGTTTAAGGGTATCAACCAAAACAGAGGGTATCAATCACATGGTTAAAGAGATTTGTTTAATTAAGTGAGGTTTGAAGGCAGGGAGAGGCAGTACAAAGCAAGAGGATTTGGGATTTCAGAGAGCAGGAGCATGACAGAAGACTCCGGTATACATGATATAATGAATGAGCAGTAGACCACAGTTGGAAGAGCAGAGGACATAAGCTAATAACTGAGTGAACCAGTGCAGAGGTATAAACTTCTCTAGTCCACAGGAGTCTTCTATACACCTTTTGCTCCTGGCTCTGTATCAGCATACCACACACAGTATTAAAGCCAAAGAAGCCTTGAAATACATTGCACCACGTGCTTCAGTCTGTACCACAAACCAAAGGATGTGGTGCATATACCATTTTTCCAGTATATAGGAAACATTGATATTGCATCTGGCAACCTCTTATTCACTGTACAGATGCAAAACACAGTAATATAAATAACATTAAAACTTCTGCCCTGTGGAGTAGAAATCTTTCCTGGAACTAGCTTTCCTTTATTTTCTTAGCATATCAGAGTGTTCAGGGTTTAGTTATACTTAAATAATCTTAATTTTGAAGCCAGTTTTCTGTAAATGATTTTAAGAACTACAGCAAACCAGCATCCAAGTTAAGACTGAATTCAACAATTTGCCAAATTATAGATGAATTGAAAAGTTACAAAAATGGATCTAGACCTTGGTGAATTTCTCCCCTCTCCCTATGCTTTCATGGTCCTGGTGGAGTCCTGTAGCTCAGTGGTTAGAGCACTCGCAAGCAAGAGACCCGGGTTTGATTCCCTGTAGGGCAAGTTTCCTTACTCCACACTCCTGATAATATTCCCTCAAGAAAAAAAACAATAATAAATTGATCACTTCAATCCACTACTGTTTGTGGGACACTGCTGTGCGCAAGTAGCTGCCGCATTTCACCCACAAATATACAGTTAATTCACTTTACAGTACATTCTATGAAGCGCTTTGAGACGCCTAGAAGACGTGAAAAGCGCTATACCAAATGCAAGGATTATTATGGTGAAAATGAGCAGGGTTTTCTCCCTACTCTCAATAAATCATTTGCAAGAAGACAGATCCACTTAAACCTCTTACCATTTCAGGAAAACCTGTAGTGGAAAATCAAAGGGTGCTGGTTCCCGTGACTGGATGACATGATTCAGAGTATAGTAAAGTTATACCAGTCAGTCAGTCGTCATAACAAAGCTGCCTACAGACGTCAAGGGACCTCATCGCAGGTCTTTCCTTCTGCCAGTTCCTGCAGCTGTCTGTTCCTTGTCACAATTCCAGGTTTTACACCATATGACTTGGATTGCAGACATCTCCAGCTGCATATTTCACTTGGCAGTACATTCTCTGCCAATTTTGCAATTGTTTTACCGGCTGATAACAGTGTCTGCCAGATAAAACTCAATCCTGAATGGCGCCTATAGTACTGGCAGCAGCTTTACGCCACCAGTGTGGTTCAAGTAGGGTAATTGGGGTTAGGGAGGATTTTGTTTGAGAAGTTACTGTCCAGAACAGGATATGTATTTGTTTTAAAAGTACTTCTCTCATATCTGGCTATAGCACTGTGTTCAGCAGAGTTGAACTCATGTTGTAGTGATGTTGGATGGGGAGAGGAAAGGAAATCACAAAAATGTTTTGCCATTAATCATCCACCCTGAAACTTCCATTAGGGTTAATTTCCACATGTACACAGATGACACCCAAATCTGCTTTCCACTCCACTCTTAATTCCAGATCCACTGATGTTCTATCCATTTGGCTGTCAAACATCAAGACCTGAATGAGCCTCAGAGTTTTACAACTCAGTATGAATACATGGAAGCCATACTTGTTAGCTCCAACTATTATCTCCTCGTTTCTGATTGACCTCCTCAAGGTCTCTTTCTCAAGCTCACCGAACAGGGTGGAACTTTGGTATCCAGTTTGATCCTTAGCTTTTCTTTCTCCCTCACGTCTGGTCCCTAATCAAGACTGCTTTTCTTCACATTAAGTTTTCGCCTCGTCCACATTGCGTTTTCACCTCTTTTTCACACCAAATGCTACTGAACGCTTACCTTCACCTTCATTAACATCCGCCTACATTTGTCTAATTTTAGTCGATTAGACTAGTCTCGGTTGTCTCCCTAGCTCCACCATCCATTGACCCAAATTTCACAGTAACCACACTTTACAGTATATCCTACGAAATGCTATGAGATATCATCCTGTTTATCAAAGGTAAGGATTGTTATTATTATTATTCTGATCCATAAGCTTTAATTCATCCAAAACGCCACTGCCCACATGCTCACCCACAGCAAACTCTGTGCTCCACTGTCCCCCTGTCTGCCCACCAGATCAATTTCAACCTCCTCACCCTCACCTATAAATCCCTTCACACCTTAATACTGGTGGAGTCCTGTAGCTCAGTGGTTAGAGCACTCGCTTTGCAAGTGAGAGACCTGAGTTCAATTCCAGGCAGAGGGGGAAACCTTGGGCAAGTTTCCCTACTCCACACGCCTAATAATAATCCCTCCAAAACCAAAAACAATAA